GAGCTGTTAATAGTTAGTACCAGTATGGATATCCTTTATATCTTGTCATCTTCAGAGTAGTTGCTTCTATTTTTAGGGTTGATACTAACAAGCATACCAAATTCAAATAAAATCAGCCAAGGCCAACCCATAGTCTTGTGATTCAGATTCAATTAAGATCAGTCATAGTAAGACAATGTAAGTAATACCGGATTTCAGTTTAAGTTAATAGGAAAGTAAGGGTAGTTATCATGGTATAACCTGCTATTTTTGGGTCAAGATGTCTGTGCCCTCAAATCTGACATGAGTGGACAGACCAGAACAAATTAAATTCAAGCTAAATATGGCAATAAGACTACTGTGTCTTTTAAATCCTTATACACCATTGACAATGATCTCTGCCTTTTTTTAATAGTATTTCAGAGTTGTCTATACTAAAGACTATAGCTTACCGTCTCTGCCTCATGTCTGCTACTCCACTTTTCTGCTATAATTTATCCACCTTATTCCCTCATTCCACTGTCTGCCCCATTCATTGAGGCCTCTCTGCCACTGTTGCTGGAATCCTGGTATCCCTTCCTCTCTTTCTCTGTAGTGTCCTTCAGCACTCTCTGTAGGGTTGGATTGGTGGCCATGAACTCCCACAGTTCCTCCTTGTCTTGGAAGCATCTTATTTCTCCATTAATTTTGAGAGAGAGTTTTGACGGGTATATGAGCTTTGGTTGCATATTATTTTCTTTCAGGACTTGGAATATTTCTCCCCACTCCCTTCTTGACTTAAGAGTTTGTGTTGATAAATCTGCTGTTATTTTGATAATTTTCCCGTTGTAGGTAATCTGCATCTTTTCTCTGGCTGCTTTTAATATTCTGTTCTTTTGGTGGATTTCTGGAATCTTGATTATTATATGTCTAGGCGTAGATCTGTTTTGGTTGTAGGTAGCTGGTGTTCTGTATGCCACTTTTATCTGGATATCATTTCTTTTTGCTACACATGGGAAATTTTGCTTTAATATATCTGTGAATATTCTTTGTATTTCATTTTTGGTTGCTCCTGCTTCCTCACTCACATTCTTTATTCTTAAGTTATGTAACTTTTTGTCATCTTCTAGTTTTAGAATTGTTTCTTTCTGGTTCCTTGTTATTTTTAAGAGGCTTTTTCTTTCACGATCCTATGCCATAAATCTCTCTTAAAGTTTCAGAAGGCTGTCTTTAGTTTCTGTCAAGGCATTTTGCCAGTGTTCAATGGAGTTTTTAGTTTCCTGGTAATCTCTTTGCATCAGTTTCATGTATTCTACGTTATGTTTAAATTCTTCTTCAGAAGTTTCTCTTTCTTTTCTGATTTCCTCAGTTCTTCCATCTGTGTTCTCTTGGGCGGGGCTTGTCATTTCTTTAATTAATCTCTTTATATCTTGCCTCACTTGGATCAGGAGTACAGCTTTAAATTCATCTATGAGGTCATGAAGGTATTTTTTAATTTCTGCTGATGTTGTGTCGAGTATTGGATGGTTACTGTGCTTGTTCTCTTCAGTGTTTACTTCTCCTGGGCTTATTTTCTCATGTTGGGCAGCTGGAGATTTTTTTTTATTTTTATCTCTTGTCATGTTTCTGGATTCTTTCAAACTGGAGTGTCCTGGGGGTCTCTGGCCCTGGCCCTCTACGTATTGCTTAGGGCCTTTCAGAAGCGTGCTGACTTGAGTTTTTGCTGTCCTCCCCAATTTGCTGTTATCTGGGGTAGGCTGGGATGCAGGGGCGGTACAGCTAGCCTCCAGCCTCTGTGCCAGTCAATCCGTAAATTAGGCTGTACGTTCTGGATGTCACTGAGTTGTGACTATTTTGTATCTGCTTATTGGGCCCCAAGCAGAGGCTTGGTTTAGCCCCAGTAGCTCCTGCCAGTTCTTTCTGTACCAGAAGCAGCTGACTAATGTCACTGTGGCACAGGGTTCTGCCCAAATCCCAGCTGTTCTCTTCCAGACCTCTCTGTGACAGGAGCACCAGGACAGCAGGTCTGCCCAAATCCAAGATGGCTTCCACTAGTTCTCTGTATGATGCTGAAGCCAGCATGGCGTCAGGCTCTGCCCAATTTTAAGATGTCCTCTACCAGACCTCCCTACAGGGGGACTTGGTGATGTCACCGAGCTGTAGGTTCTGCCCAACTCTAAGATGTCTGCCGCCAGAGTCTCTGTGTTATTGATGTCCCCGTGGTGGCAGGCACTGCCCAGTTCCAAGATGTTCTCTGGCCATCCCCAGCAGCCGCGGGGTCCCCAGTACTCACCGGGGTTCGGTGCAGGTCCTCCTCTTGGCTCTACTGTACACCATGCCGTTCGCCCTCCCTGCACTCTCAGCACAGTGTGGAATGGTCAGAAAACTGCACAGCATTCAGCTTCGGAGCTCCAGAGCCTTTCACAATCTCCTCTGGTGCAGCGGGGCAGTCCTGGCTGCTTCTTGGGGTCCCAGGTCTCAGTTTCCAGCAGTCACCAAAAGCCAACACAGCTTTTCCTGTTGGGTCCACGGGTCAGTTTGTTGATTTTCGATAATTGTGGTTTTTGTTTTGGAACATTGCTAGTTCTTTAATGTTATATTCCAGATTTAAGAAACTGCTGTTTTTTCTTAAGCTGTCTGTAATTTACAGCAATTAGGCAAAATACATTTTTGCAAATGAAGATTAAGCAACTGCTTTTTCTCCCTGCCTAATAGAATTGACCTTATGAACCTTAGAACCTTAATGAATATTCTTATTTTCATGACAATATAGTTATTTGTGTAAGTTGAGTAGAATATATTCTTGCAGCAGGACACATTTGGAAACATTGGTTATATTACCAAGGTTTTGACTAGAATGCAATATTTGAGAATGTTGTATAAAATTAAATAAGACCTGTTAGCTATTGACTTTAAGATGCCAGTTGTTTAAGAGCCCTCTTAGAAAATCTAGCCTGATACTCTCCATTTGGGTTTGATCTAGGCCAGTGATGGTGAACCTATTAGAGCTTTCAGTGATAGAAATACCCCACTGTGGCCAATGTGCTATAGATTTCCTACCATTGATATAGGCCTCACAAATAAGCAAAGAAACTTCAGAGTGATTTGAGATCCTCAAGAAGTGAATTCCCTCAAATGATAGTACTGAAGGTAAAGTTTGGAGGCAAGTCCCTAGCTTGGCTTTGAGATACTTTCAAAAGTCTTAACCAGAAGCTGGCTGTGGTGGTATACACCTATAATCTCAACTACTTGGGAGGCTGAGGCAAGAGGATTTCAAGTTTAAGGCCAGTGTTGACAACTTAGGGAAACTGTCTCAAAATAAAGTATAAAGGGCTCAAGATGTATAACTCAGTGATGAACTGCTTGTCTAGCAAGATTGTGACCTCATACAGAAAAGAAGGGAGTATTCTGATTGAAATAGGATTCTCTAGTCAATTGCCATTCTTGTTGCACTAACATAAACAGTCAGGCCAAGTCTAATAAGACTAGATTTATTTTATAAACAGGAATGGAAAGTTAAGACAGGGTGAGTATAGCAAAAAAATCTTTGAGCAGAAAACTATATTGTACCTTTGTGGCTTCTGTCACATACATTTCACTAGTGTTTGCCAAGATTTTAATTCTTCTAGTGCCCACTAATACTTGGCTACAACTTTCCAGGCTGTTATTTTTAATTTTTTACTGCCCTTCAACTTGGCATAACTAAAACAGCCTTTTCCTAAATCCCTGTACTCTAAAGCTGAATGACTCCATAGAAATTTCAGAGAAATCCCAGGGCAGATTACATATTGTTGACTTTCATGCCTGTTGCTCTGTGGAACATTCAGAAAGTTCACCATTATACCAGGGTACATTACAAGGGTTATTTATACTGCAAACTGGGAAAATCTATTAGATTTCTCTGATTGTCCTAATTCCATCTGAAGATGCTTTTGAATCCAATGTCTAACAGCCTTTTAGAGTGAATACCCTCTGGACTTAAAAAACTGAATTTATAGTTTGTTTTGTTAGCCTTTGTTTTTCTTTTATTTTCATGGAAGTACCCTTCATTAAATGTCTTACTGTTGATACATGTAGTAAATAACCTTTACAAGCAGGTACCAGCTGATGATTGAGCTGGTCCTTCTGAACAAAAGGTGACAGAAAAAATGGCCTTGCCTTGTTCCATGGAAAGAAAGACATGCCTCTTCTTTCCCTGAATATAGTGTGGTTAACAGTGCTTTAACAAGGACTTCAGAGTAATTTTTCTCTTACCAGTTGCTTTGAACATGACTATTACAAGAACTCCAATGCATTTTTTTTAAGAAAAGTTTGAGCAGGAGGATTACATGTTTAAGACCAGTCTTTAAATTTAGTGAGACACTGTTTCAAAAGATACAAAAGGCTATGTCTTACTTATTTTTCTTGTTGCTGAAACAAAATATACCATACTCATATGTGAAAGAAATCCCAGTATCACATACCCTAATCCAGCCACCTTCAAAACTCTCCACCTATGACTCCATGAGGCTTTGGGGAATACATCTAGATACAAGCCACAGCAGGCTGTGTTTCCTTATTTATTGCTTGCTTGGTCCAAATACACAAGCTCTGTCAGAGCTGTCCTTCTTTTGCGGGGGGAGGGTTGAGATAGCATCTCACTATGTAGTTCAGGCTGGTTTTGAGCTTACTATGTAGTCCAGGCGATTTTTGCATTTAATTGTCCAAACAGTATTAACACAGACCTGTCAATGAACTCAGAGAAATTCAGAGAAATTAGTGATATATGTAGTTTTTTTTTCTAATCAAAGATCATCTGTGACATTTGGTTGTAATGTCTCTTAGCCAATTTGAATTGAAAATGGTTCCCTTGCTCTTGTTTTCCCTCTTTTGATTTTTTTCATTTGGAGAATTGAGGATGACAGTTGGAATTTTTTCTTACAGTTAAGATTAAACAAAAAATTTGGTGAGAAAAAGGCATAAGTTTGTATCCAAATTTTAACACTGAAGAAACTTCAAATGAAGAGCAAAACAAAGGATAATTTTCCTCTTTTTTTATATAGGATCCTGAACACAAGCAGTTTGCTCTGTGACTGTCATCTGAAATGGTTACTTCAGTGGCTGATCGATAATAACCTTCATCATTCTGTAAATGTAAGCTGCGCCCATCCTGAATGGCTAGCAGGGCAAAGCATCCTGAATGTGGACCTAAAAGATTTTGTCTGTGGTTTGTATTTTTGGTTCTAAAATTTTTAATTTTTAATTTCTAAAATTTTATTACAGAATTAAAATTTTTAAAAATTTATTAATACATGTTTGCAGTACATAATGATTACATTCACGTGGATAACTGGTACATGTATGTAATACTACTTATCCCCTACCAGCATCAGATTCATTTATTTTATAACTCCTTATAAAGTTAATTATCACACGTGCAGATTAACAGTCAGACTAACTAAAAACCATACAAAACATGTAATACTATTTTACTATAACAAGGTGTACTTTTAGATGTATTGTCCACAAACACAATTTTCCCCCTACTGTTTGTAGTCTGCAGTTGGTTAAATCCTTGACTGTAGGGGTCATGGGCATGGCGGGCCAACTAACAATCAGTTTTGGGGTATCACTGGGATGCTGTTCATCTGATACTTCTATATTGCCAAATCTGTTTGCACAATCTCTCTAAAAGCTACTTTTATCTTTAGACACTTGGAACACTTAGAAGTTCATGCCCATGGAAGTTGTTTGTACTTGTACTTGAACTTTGTTTCTTATAGAAGAAAACAAAGAATCTTCTTTTTCTTTTTCTAAATCCATTATATTTTAAGGATAAAAAGAAAAAGAAGAAAAAACCTACAACAAAATCTCAAAACACATCAGTCAGGACAACAGTGAAACATACATTGTATATTGTCATCCCCAAATCGTTCACCCAGAGCACAGAGGCATCTATAGTCAGTTATCTGAAAAATACCAGTACAAATCTTTCTCTTCAGTGAACTCAGAAAAAACAAAGAATCTAATGCAGATTAAATTCTGCTTATATTGTCACTCATGGTTCTAAGTGTAGATGCATTGTATATTTTATTGTCCATTCCAACTTTTATAGCCCAGTGAAGTATTAGCACTGAAAGTACTAGATAAGAATTCATAAACCATCTCTGAGTCAATCCAATAACATTGTATTTATGAATGTAGAGTGTGTTAGCCAGTCTTAAACTAATGTTCATTTGTACATTTGCTACTTTTGGAATTCTTCACTGTTTTGGAAGTTTTAATCCTCATTTGCTACTGATTTAATATCTTTGAGCAAGCCATTTGACTTTTCTGGGCTTCATTTTCCCCATCTTTAAACAAGGGTATTAGGTGGTAGCTGTGTAGTCTCCTTCAGCCTACACATTGTTTTCAGAACTCTTCAGTTTCATAGTATTTGTTTTAAAATTGAACCTTAAGCAAAAATAAATAACTGACTTGACTACTACTGCATTTTTTCCTCTCAGATGATTTTCTGAAGCCACAGATAAGGACTCATCCTGAAACCACAGTTGCTCTAAGGGGCATTAATGTGACTTTGATCTGCACTGCAGTGAGCAGCAGTGATTCACCAATGTCCACAGTGTGGCGCAAAGACAGTGAAATTCTGTATGACATGGATATTGAGAATTTTGTTCGTTATCGGCAACAGGCTGGAGAAGCCCTGGAACATACTAGTATTTTACATCTTTTCAACGTGAATTTCACAGATGAAGGAAAATATCAGTGTATTGTTACTAATCATTTTGGATCCAATTATTCTCTGAAAGCCAAACTAACTGTGAATGGTAAGGAATTATTCTTGATTTTTTTTGTTGAAACAGGGTCTCATTATACAGTTCAGGTGGTCATCCTGCCTCAGCCTCCCAAGTGGTGGGATTATAAGCATGTGCTGCCTTACCTGGCTTTTTTTCTTTTCTTTTTTAGAAGGGTTTTTCATGATCAGTTTTAAAATCACTTAACCAAAAAGATCAACAATAAACCTACATTTGAGGGAAAGAGGGGAAACGATTTTTGGATTAACTATGTATCTACTTATCCCTAAATGATCTTTACTTAAGAGGTAAATCCTGTGACCCTAAGAGATGAGCTACTTTTGTGCTTTGGGGATCATTCTTTTCAAATTTTCAGTTTTCTTTCTCATACCATAATTCTCCTCTGAAAACTGAAATTTATTCCTGGAATTATTCACACAGCCATCTAATAGAGAATTTAGGACATTTCTGAGTCCAGTTATTAAATGTATTTATACTGAATCATTTTTGAAATTTATTTTTGAAATACTATGAAATCTTATTTCCTGTGGCTGCAAAAAACTTCACAGCAGCTTGATTTATTGCCTGTCAAATGAGTTAACTGCAACAGTTTAGGCTTTATACATCCAAAAGGTGGGTCTTGCTTCTGTGTTTTTGTATTTTTGTTTTTGAAATAGGATCTTACTTTGTAGCTCAGGCTGGCCTTGAGCACTGCAACCCAGGCTGCCCTTGAATTGACGATGGTTTTCTTGTCTCAGCCTTTTGAGTGTTGGGAATACAGATGTGTACTACTCTGCCTCGCTGCTTCTGAGCTTTTAATTGAGATTCTTTTAAAGACATAGTTTTTTTGTTTTTTGGTTTTTTTAATTTGTTTTTTGGTACCGGGGGTTAAACCCCTGGCAGGCACTTAGGCTGCTGAGCTCAATCCCCTCCCCCCTTCAATATGCATTTCCTTTGACTACTGTGCTGATGTTTGGGAAGTACTATATAACTTTGTAAGGGAATAGCATTAAACAGTAGGTTGTAAAATAAGGAATTCAGAATGACTTAGGGCCTTTGCTGTCCCTGTTTCCATCAGGATGATCAGATAGGCATGTTGTACATTCTGGAAGAGTTAGGTGTCACCATTCAAAATACTGTACTCTGAGGTTCTGAGATAAAAAGATCATCTCTAAAGCTGTTTCCACTGTTATTTCAGGAAGCATGTATTCTCTAAGAAATGGAGCATTGTAATAGTTGTTATTTTGCTGTGTGTGTGTATGTATACCCTCTTGCCTACTTTTTCTTGATGATCTTTCTGAAACAGAAATGCCATCTTTCTTGAAAACTCCAATGGATCTAACTATTCGCACTGGTGCCATGGCCAGATTAGAATGTGCTGCAGAGGGACACCCTGCACCTCAAATTTCCTGGCAGAAGGATGGTGGTACTGACTTTCCAGCTGCTCGAGAAAGACGTATGCATGTCATGCCAGAGGATGATGTCTTCTTTATTGCCAACGTGAAAATAGAAGACATGGGAATCTACAGCTGCATGGCACAAAATATAGCCGGAGGCCTCTCAGCAAATGCTTCACTAACAGTGCTAGGTATGTTTATACTTTACTCATGACCACACACTTGTAAGGCAGATGCTTATGCCACTGAGCTAAATCCCCAGCCCTGTTTATGCTTTTTAAGAGTGTCTAATTTTTTGGCAACATTGAGATGTACTGTTGGTCTTTATGGGCCTGCAAAATAATTTAAAGTTCAGTTGTCACTCTTACCTTTGTTGGTATTTTGCTACTTTTTGGAGAGTTTTATCAGCATAGGACATCAGTGGGTCAGATATTTGAAATTTGGGAAAATGTTGAGGGCAAAACTAGGGTTGTTTATCACATAAATTAAAAATTCAAAATCTTTTATCACTGTATTCTTGTATGTATGTCTTTCTCTATTACGATTTCTTTTTCTTATGTTTTTCTACTATCCAGTGAGCTTGTGTTTCTTAGAAGTACCCAGCTATTTGATGTTGCTTCATGCACTGGTTCACAAAGAACCTAGGCTAAGTTTGTTTTTTCCCTAGCTAATTAAAATAATACAGAAAATTTTTTGCCTGCCTTCTGATGAGATTTTTCTGTTTTCCTTCCAGTGTGGCTCTCATAATCCTGTTTTTTTTTTTTCAGAGTTGCAATTAAAAACATCTTTTTAATTGAGTATAACTAGCAAAGTTGTATATATTTAAGGTGTGTATTTTTGTGTGTGTGTGTGGCACCAGGGATTGAACTCAAGACCTTGCGCTTGTCAGGCAGGCGCTTATGCTACTGAACTAAATCCCCAGCTGTAATTTTTTTTTTTTTTTTTTTTTTTTACAATATCACGTGTTGAGGCACATATATATTGTTAAATGATTACTAGAGTCAGGCTGGTTAACATACCCACCACCTCATGTGCCTAAGGCAATTCCTTTTTTTTTTTTTAATTAAGGAGAAAAAGAAAAAAAAACAGAAAAAGGGTATAAGTTATACAGAATTTCAGAAAGAATAAACAGTAGGGAATCACTAGTTAATTACATATTGTTATCTTAGAAATAGTTGTTCAAGTTACAAAATTAAAGCATGTGGACTTTCAAACAGTGAGACTGCAAACAGTTTTGTTCGATGATCCAACAAAACTCAGTAATATGGTTATCTATCTTATATACTTAAATATATATGCAGTTATATCCTTTAGAGCACTTTCTTTTCCTCTCTTTTGTACAATGACAATTACACATTTTGGGTTTTATTACTCCCACAGTTCTTACTAGTTTTTGAAGAGAGTAAAACCAAATGTATCATAACAGAACACAGTCAGTCAAATCAAAAGGATGGACATAATAGATAATGTAAAAACAAAATACCAGGTGATCAACAATGGTTACTGTACTGGCCTAAGGCAATTCTTAATTTTCTGCACTTAGAAACTTTCTTTTTGGTACGAGAGTCAAACTCGGGACCTTATGCTTGTCATGCAAGCGCTGTGCTACTGTATCCTTGGCCTGGAAACATTGTATAAAAACACAAGTTAAATACTTTTAAACAGAATGATGTGCTCAGCATATTATTTCTAGAGACAGATTAAAACAGTTAAGTGAATATCGTGATAGATGATTTCTTAATGCATTTTTTTAAAAAATCAGCAATGCCATAAATGCTGTTGTAACCTGCTGTTTCATGTAAGGGAGTATCATGGATACCTTTTCAGCTCAATAAATTTATTTCAATACGATATTTTAATGACATAATAGTTTTTACCGTCACCCTCTTACCTCCAGTACCCGCCTTATAGCCCTTTCCATCCATATTCCTTTTCAAGGAAAATGTCTTTTCTTTAAAAATTTCTCTGACTAGCATTTTTGTTGTTCTGTCAGGGGTTCTTTTTTATTTTTAAAATTTTTTTGTTGGTATGTGTGTATCAGAAAAATAATTCATTGATGTAAAATTCTAAGGTATAGAAAATTAGAGTAAGATACTCAAAGATTTTAGCATAGTCTAGATTCCTTTAAACTCATTTTTGTACATATAATTAAGTATACATGCTTCTTTTCCTGTTTAATACTATATTGCAAGAATTACCCTGTCATTAAAACAAAATCCTTATAAAACACTGTGTGACTCTCCTATAATTCACTTAATCATTTTCCTGTTAAAACTTGATATTTTCCTTTGTTTCTTTTCTTTTCTTACTTCTCTTTTTGAGAGTTTCACTATGCATTTCAGGCCAGCCTTGAGCTTACTTTGTAATCCAGGATTGCCTTGAACTCACTCACAGCAGTCCACCTACCTCAGCATGCCTGAGTGCTAGGATTATAGGTGTGCACCACCATGCCCCATGTTCCTTTATTTTTTTTATATGTTATGTTATCTTTATTCTGTTACGTTATTGGTACTGGGATTGAACTCATAACATTGCGTTTGCCACACAGGCACTTGTGCCACTGAGTTAAATCCCCAGCCCTTGCTTTACATTATTAAAATAAACATCTTTGTATATAAATTTTTGCACTCCATGAGATAACTTGCCCAGGGAGGTTATTGAGATAAGATTTGGGGCTTTTTTTTTTTTTGCTCTATTTTATCTGTTTAGGTTATTTTGGGGGGTGATACTAGTGCTTAATACAAGGGCCTCAAACATGGTAGGTAAGTGCTGTACCATTTAGCTACACCTCTAGGCTCAGAGTTAGGTTTTTGCATTTTTCAAGTAGAGTCTCACTATGTAGTTCAGGCTGGTTTTAAACTCAGTGTGTAGCCCAAACTGGCCTCCAACTCCCAGTGATCCTGCTGCCTCAGCTTCACAAATAGTGGGATTACATGCGTGTACCACTGTGCCTGGGCTTAGATTTAGGTTTTCATTTGAGGCTTTTAGTTTTCTGAAACACCTTCCAGTCCTTCCATGAGTATATGAAAGTGTTCATTTTGTCATGGGTTCAGTAGTCTTAATTCAGTAGGATTTGGGGAATAAAATTGCCTAACTTGATTTTTAAAAATTATTTCTTGTTAGAGACACCCTCATTTATTAGGCCTCTGGAGGACAAGACAGTAACTCGAGGTGAAACAGCCGTGTTACAGTGCATAGCTGGAGGAAGCCCCGCCCCTCGCCTCAACTGGACTAAAGATGATGGCCCACTGCTGGTGACAGAACGACACTTCTTTGCTGCGGCCAACCAGCTTCTCATCATTGTGGATGCTGGGCTGGAAGACGCAGGGAAATACACGTGCATTATGTCTAACACTCTTGGCACAGAACGTGGCCATATTTACCTACATGTCATTTCATCCCCCAACTGTGATTCTTCTCAGAGCAGCAGTGGGCATGAGGAGGATGGCTGGACCACCGTTGGCATTGTCATCATTGTTGTGGTCTGCTGTGTTGTGGGCACCTCTTTGATTTGGGTCATTGTTATTTATCACATGAGAAGGAAAAATGAAGACTATAGTATCACAAACACAGGTGAGTAGTTCCCAGATGTGGCTCATACTTGAGTTAAAATATGGGATAGGATTTATTGGAAAAATGACACTGAGGAACTGTGATGCATTACCTGATAGGAGGCATAAGGAGGTTTTTCTTTTAAAATACTAACTTCCTTGAAAGAACAGAACCTACTTAAAATAGTTTTAACTATTTTAAGAATTTATACTGCCCCCAAACTGCACTCTATGAACTGTTACCTATTGCATCTTCTTTCTTTAACATATTCACAAGGGCCGAAATGTGTGTGTCTCACTGGTGGCGGCTCTGATTTGAATGTGTTAGATGTTGCCTCCAGCTTGAACCACTGGTGGTTTGTGTATGGCTGTCCCACTTGGTAGCATGGGAAAGCTGCCTGATGGGTCAGTCATGCCTGAAACCTCAGTACTTCAAGTGACAGGAACCTTCATGGCTTAAGTCAGTCTTTTACCCTCCTCACACTGAAATCTGCAGGAGAAGAAGATCCAGTCAGCAGGATTGTGGCTCTAGGTAAACTTCGACTTTAGGGTTTGTTTCTTTTGGTAAGCCCCACCCCTCCTTACTACTGGAAATTGAACCCGGGGCCTGTGCATGCAGGGCAAATGCTGTTACACTGAGTTATGCATCCCCAGTCTTGGTAATAATCCTAATGTGAAACTGAGGACTCCAGTGTAAAATAGTTTTAGGGAAAGTATGAATACCTTGTGGTTCTAAGTCCATACCATTTTCCTAGGCAGTTGTATCACAGTGGAATATGCTTAGAAAATCGTCTTCTGAGTGTTAGCATCAGCTGCTCACCTTGAGAGTTACAGTTGTCTCTTGTTACAGAGGAGCTCAATCTGCCTGCAGACATTCCCAGCTATTTGTCTTCTCAAGGAACGCTGTCTGAGCCACAGGAAGGCTACAGCAACTCTGAGGCGGGCAGTCATCAACAGCTTATGCCTCCTGTCAGTGGGTTCATGCACAGAGGCACTGATGGTAAGGGCTCTTTGTTCATGTTTACAACTTCACCCAGGCCTCTTGGGTTTATGTTTCCGCATGTAGTTTCCACATTAACCTTAAGTAATACTTTAACAGTAAAATATTCAATGTAAATATTTGACCACATGCAAAATTAAAATCTTAACAAGTGAAGAAGCCCTCTTACAGAAGGGAAAAACACATTGTCCTTAAAGAAGGGTTTGAAGTACACAGCAGAATTTGCTAAACCTGTATTAGTATGGAAGGGCTACAGTGCTTCTCAGCATAAAATGAAGAACATCTGAAAGATATAAAATGTTTCTAGTTAAATGAATCTGAGCTAAGCATGCAGAGCTTGTCTGTAGTCCCATAGAGTCTGAGGCAGGAGGATTGCTTGTGCTTAGGAATTCCAAGATGAACCTGAGCAACATACCGAGACCCAGTTTCCAAAAGAAGAACCCGACTTCTCAGCACTCCTTCACGCCCTCACTTCTTAGGAGAAATGGAACATAGGGAGGTGAACTAAGGGATAGTAACACTAGGTTTGATTCCTGATACTTTCCCTTCTTAGACTGTAACTGTAAACAGGGTACAAGATCTGCACTTCAGTTGACTCATTCTTGAATAGAGAAACTGCTTTACTCAGTAGGTCCCTGAGATTACCACAGATCCTTTCTCAACAAACTTTTGTGATACTTCAAGTAACATGTTGATACAAGATTTTTTTGCATTTCTTCAAAGATTTCTTAGGCTGAATTAACATAGAACTCCTCTAATCGATAAATTGGATTTTATTGTGGCTTGTCATAGAAAAGGGTGTATTTCTAGGCAAATGCTGTACCAATGAACCAAATCCAGAGCCATATCGCCTTTATATATAAAAAAGGGATATTTCTGACTTTCTGAAGAATATTTAAAAGCTTTTATTCTTTGAAATCTGTAGGAAATAACTTTGCTTTCAGGATTGAATGACATGATTTCTCATTCTGTCCAGTTCTAGCATTCTATTGATCGATGATGAATAAATGACTTGCTCTTTATTGCTTACATTTTTTCCTTCATCTAGTTTTCAAAGTACATGACAGTCCAGGGAGCTTATTATTAAATTCTGTTATCTACAAACTTGTCAGACAGGACTCTTGACTGGGGATTCTTTCAGCAGTAAGTGTTGCTTAACCTTTTGACACATGAAAGTAACAAGTCTTATGAAGTGAAATCATCAAAGCTTGTTTCCTACTTTAGTCTGCTTAGGAGGCTAAGCATATGTTTTGTAGCACAGTACCAGCCCTGTTTTGGATCTCTTGGTTTTAATTAGGCTGGACAGAGATGGTTTAACATAGGATTCAAGAGTATGGGCTCTGAAGCCTGCCTGGCTTTTTTTCTTTCTTTCTTTCTTTCTTTCTTTCTTTCTTTCTTTCTTTCTTTCTTTCTTTCTTTCTTTCTTTCTTTCTTTCTCTCCTTTCTTTCTTTCTCTCCTTTCTTTCTTTCTCTCCTTTCTTTCTTTTGAGACAGGGTCCAGTGTACAGTTCACACTGGCCTTTGTAGCTCAGGCTGGTCTTAAACTTGCAGTGTTCCTGCCTCAGCCTCCTGAGTGCTGGCATTACAAGTGCACACCACCATGCCTGACTTTTTTTTTTTTTTGGTACCAGGAATCAGGATCTTACACTTTAGCCTGGGTTTAAATTTTAGCTCCTCATTCTGATAATATTGCTTCAGTCAAATTACTCAGCTTCTGAATGCTATACTTACTGTATTTGTAGAGATCACTGTATTTATTATTCCTATCATAGTACCTGCCCCAAAGGAAAATTGTGAGGATTAAATGAGTTAATTCACAAAAAACATTGAAACTTCACACAGTTTATAAAATACATAGATAGCTAGCAATGACAGTGATAACATGATTGAAAAACTATTTCCTTAACAGAAAAAATGTTTTTGTATTCTTTTCCCTGTTGTCATTAGGTGGCACTGGTACCCGGGTGATCTGCTCAGATTGCTATGACAATGCCAACATTTACTCAAGGACTCGAGAATACTGTCCATACACCTATGTCACTGAGGAGGATGTTCTAGATCAGACACTGTCCAGCCTCATGGTCCAGATGCCGAAAGAGACATTTTTGTCATGTCCTCCCCAAGATGCTGCTGCCCTGGAGAACTTAGTATCATTGGCCAACAGAGAACTGTCTGCCTTACCCACCAATCATGAGAGGATAAGTGAAAAGAAACTTCCCTCCACACAGATAAGCAGTGGTAAGGAGTGCTTCAGTTTTGTTTTGCTTTATTTTGCTTTCACCTCACCTACTTCATCTTGCCTTTTATGATATAGGTAACATTCTCATTTGACAAGAAACAAGCAAACGGATATACTGAAATAATTGCCTGCTATTAACTAGTATAAACTAGATCCAGAGACTATTTTATCTGTTGGAGTTATAGTCTTCATCAGCACGAAAAAAATAAGTTCTATGAGATAATAAGATCACTCTACTGACAGTTCAGAGGCAACACAGAGAATTTAAAAAGTTTCATAGATGGTGTTGATATTTTCTCTATCTTTATTTAAATGACAAAGGTTCAGAATCCTGAGAATATAACTTGGGCATGATTCGAGGAACATTTTTATTGAAAAGAATTTAAACATTTGATTTTTGGGGCCGGGGATTTAGCTCAGTGGCATAAGCACCTGCCTGGCAAGTGTGAGGTCGCAAGTTTGATCCCTGTTACCAAAATAAATAAATAAGTGAATGAATGTCTGTATGTATGTTTGCTTTGGTTGCTTTCTATTTGGCAAATACTGAATCTTAGCATCACCTGGCAGATATTTCTTTGTGCTGCGCTGGTTAGGGCTATAATTGGGAAGGCAGTTTTGGGATTGTGTTTTCTTTCCTACCTGGCCCAGGAAGATAGCATTGCACAAGTATAGGTGATGCCTTTGATAACAGTAGAGTGAAATAAGAGTCCTTCCTAAACTCGGAAGGATGCTGTTGAGCGTGTCTTCCTAGCCATTGGGGTTTTCATCAGTTGTCACCTCCTGTCAGCCTGAAGTGGAAGAACACTGCACATGGGGCAGGGGCAAGAATTACAGGTGTACAGGAAGATAAAGTGTACAGTGGTGCTTTCAGGTATGGTTCTGACAGAAATAATAAAATGTAGCATGAGATATAAGATGTGCTCTTTTATTCTTGAGACCAGCTCTATAAGCATTTCTTAGGAGCATACAAATCAAAGAAAAGTACTAGTTTTGAAGTTAATTTCTTATCTTTACATTGAGTATCCATGAAAGCAGTGTCCCAGCACCAAGTCTATTTTGCCAAGTCCTGGAAGAGTTACACAAAAAGAGTTTAAGAACTAAAAGTGCAGCACCTCTTGTTTTAATTCAGGGCTAGAGATTGAAAAAAGGGTCTCATATATGACTGCTAAGCACACAGTCTCCTTAAACTGTATGCCAACCCTGGTACATCTTTTCTTTACCCTTGAGAGGTTTCACATTTTGAATCTAGCCTGTAAGTAATGAAATTAGGAAATGTGAATGTTTCGGTCCGTTTGTCCATTTTTTACCTCAGGTACTTTAGATTCTTTCTATATGAAGTGTGGCCTAGAGTCTTATCAGTGTCATCATTAATCCTAGAGTTTGTTAGAAATGCAATCATGTTTCCTCCATAGATCTAGTGAATCTAAATCCACATTTTAACAAGATCTGCACGTTATTCATATGTACATTAAAGCCTGAGTAATCCTACTAGAGCTTACTTTTCACATGGAATTTATTTTTATTTGTTGGTGTTTATTTTCAGAATGTTAGGCTAGCTTTTTACAGAATGTACCCCCATGAAATTAATACATTTTTTAATAAGCAGTCTTAGGGAAAAGAACCCATTAGTGCTGTAAATAAGAATGAGAAATGCATATTTTTAAAACCTAAGTACAAGTAATCTGATTTCATGTAGCTGTTTTTAATTACTGTTTGTTGGTTATCATTTGTTTGGTTCTTTTTGTTTGTTTATATAACTTGATTGAACTCAAGGACTTTACATTGACATACATTTCAACTCCTTTTTATTTTTGATTTTGAGATGGGGTCTTGCTCAGTCGCTAAGTTGCCCAGTCTGAGTTTGAACTTAAATTCCTCCTGCCTCCGCCTCCCAGAGTGCTGGCTTTATAGGCATGCAACATCATTTCAGGCTTGTTTGGTCTTATTTACTAGAAAGTTGAAAGAGAATGGTTGTTTATTTTTAAAACAATTTAAGAGCATATTTAAGAATATAAGTAGCTATACTTAATCAATCATTATTATCTATGTGTCTTGAAACTTTATTACAATATGGATACCATTAAGTGTCTTTAGTATTTTCCTATGGATTTAAAGTTTTATTTTTAAATTTTTGAAACAGCAGAATCATGAAAATAACAAGTGAAAGAACATGATTCATAGCATAGTTTTAGAAATTATTTTATTAGTACATTTTTCTAGTATATACAGTGTACAGTCATCTTATGTGTACATACCACAACTTCTCTTTTTTTAATTCCCTTTCCCTTCCTTCCCTTCTTAGTCTCTCCAATTTTCCTATCCCAATTTTTATTGTTGATTTTATTAATTTTAGCTCATGTTACAGCATATAATGTTTATATTCTTAAAAGGTTTCTGTACATGGTGTATCTTTGTTTCTCCTTCTCCTCCTCTTGCCCTAAATTGATTACATTTGATCAGTAAAAAGACTCAGTGGACCACAGTTGAGTTGTTTTTTTCATTTGGCAAAGACATGTTTGATCTCTTTCCTTACTGATGAATGTTGAACATCTTTATTGCTTTAAGAATTGGGTTAAAAACACATTAAGTTGTTTGTTTGTTTGTTGTCTGTTTGTTTTGGCACAGATTGAACTCATGACCTCATGCTTGCCAGGCAGGTACTTCTGCCACTGAGCTAAATCCCCAGCCCCACATTAAGTTTCAGAAAATTAATTTTTAACTTCTAGTTACCACTGATAATTTTTGCCTTTTTATTTTCAGAAACATTGCAACATCCTCTGTGGAGCATAAACAGAGAACCAGGCCTATCTTGTCCTTCCTTTTCCCAGCAGCCAGTCCTCGAGTCACCACAGCTTCATCGGAATGAGGACTTGGGAGAGACAGAACCAGACTGTTCTTCCCCCATGCCCTGCCACAGGTTGCACGACCATGCTTTTGACTTTAGTAGGACTCAGAGCATTCAAAATGGTAGTGAGAACACATAAAATCCACACCAGAATGAAATTTGGGCAGAGACTCAAGTTAATCTTGTATTTACTACCTCATAATTCAGAAGAAACCCCAAAGTCAGCATGTGCTTTACTCTTAGTTTATGATTACATCTGACCACACCAGGGTAGGCCTGCTATTTGTTTGGGCTTATACTTGACAGGGAAAGGGTAGCAGCTGGCGGACATGAGTGTATGAAGTTGAAGATAAGTGGCACTGGCAGAGTACTTATGTACAAGTGGAAGAGGAAGACGTGGAGCAGATGTGTTTCCTGATGGTTCCACAGGAATGTGCCCAGATGTGTATTGCCTATCAGGAAGTGTCTCATTGCTGCTTAATCTGCTGGACTGTCCTAATTCATGGATTGATCCTGCAAAAGCTCACTGCTTTGATGTTCTAACTTTGCTTTCCAAGGAACAAAAATAACTTTGGAGCCCTCTGAGAAGTGTACCTGGGGTCCTTCAGTGGGTTTACACAGGTAGAGACCAGGGCTTTGATATTCAAGGTCCTTGGCAAGATCCCAGGTTTGACTAGCTGGTATCAGGTCAAAGGTTTTTGTATTCTTGTGAATTATTATTATTATTATTTGTCCCTATTGCCTAGGGATCTCATTGTAAATATATGTGCATTTATAAATAATTTTTCTATTCTTCAACTGTGTGTGTTGGTGGCAATGTAAATATTTTTGATATGCCAAAATTATATATAATGTCTAGTTATTGTCAGTAGCTTCTTCAAAAAAAGTTTATATAACTTAGTCAAGTGAGATATAAAAACTTTGTTTAAAGAAAAACCGCTTAGAGTTCTGAAAACTTACTGTTAAGAAGTATATGTGTAGAGGCAGGGTACATAGTAATTGCATACACACAAACACAATCTTGGTATACTTAACTGCTTCTTTCAAGCATAGAGATTCATTTACCTAATCGTTTGTCACTTGTATACAAGTACCAGGCAAGATTCCCTTTGTGACATAAAGCCTGACAGTTTGTCATAGCTGTATGAACTAGTATTGTTTTGGAACAATTTAGAACAACAGTTTTCAGCAAATTAGTTTATTGACAAGGATACCAAAGATTTCTTTTCTGTTATTTGATTTTAATCTCTCTTTAGTAATGTACTGTATATCTTAGAAGGAAAGAGTGCTCTTGAGACTGGAATATACGTAAATTTTTGTACTGTAAAGCTTTGGAATGGTTTTTGTTTTGTACATGTGATTGTTTAAGCCACAAAGTTTTCTTGAATTTCTGATCAAAGAACTTTATATAAACAAAGAACTTAACACTTTAATGAAATGTGATAGACTAAAGTTCATTCTTTGTCCTTTCAGATTTCCATATACAGGCTGTTCAGGTCTTCTAAATCTTAGCCTCTTACTAGGAACTTCATTCTCTTAAACAAAAACTTCTAAGTCCCTGTGCATTTCCAGGGTTTTAAACTCACATAATTTCTCAGCATTTTGTCAGAAAGTTTAACTGAATTTCATACTCTTTCTCTGGACAGCAGGACTTACCATTTTTCTCTTTGTTCATTTACAATCAGTTTTTTCTTTCTTTTTTTGGTGGTACTGGGAATTGAACCAAGAACCTTTACACTGAGCTATAAAACCGGTCTGTTTTTGGTTTTTATTTTGGGTCAGGGTCTCACTAGGTTGCCCAGACTGGGCTCAAACTTTATGATCCTCTTGCCTCTGTCTCCCAGAGTGCTGCGATTACATCAGTCCCTTCAACCTGCATTGCCCCTCTTTACTAAGTTATGACAATAGTTTATACTGGACTTAACTTTTCGTTTCCTGGCTTTGTTCCTTACAAGCTGTGTAGACTAGGGCATATCTTTTTACTTTTGTGGGCCCATTTTTCGCTAGGAAATGAGGTCCTTTACTATAGATTCTCTAAAGTCCCTTCTAGGTATAATATCCTATGATTCCACAGTTCCCTACAGGAACCAGAGAGGATTATGCTACTTTAATAGAAAGCTGCTTTCATGAAATATTTGTTAGCATAAAATAAGAGTGCTGCTGCTTGCTCCAAATTGAGCCAGATTTATTTTTCTCTGTAGCAGGAATAGTGGTCTAAGAAATACTCAGAAGAGGAAACAAATACTATGCAGGATTGGTGAGTGTGTGTGTGTAGTCAGGGGTAAAACTCAGGGCCTTCTCTGAGTTACATCTCTAGCCCTTTTAAAATGTTTGTATTTTGAAACAGATTGTGGCTAAACCTAGGCTAGGCTTGTTTATAGTCTTCTTTGCCTCCACAAGTGGTGTGATATAGGGCCTGCGCCACCACACTTGGCTAATACTCTTACTTCTAAAACAGTATCCATAAATGTAATGAATCTTGTCTCAGGTGAAAGCTCACCCATTGCTTTCTAGAGCAGCAAGTCCGAGTACCAGTATTACAGTTTGCCGGAGGATTAGCTGCAGGATTAGCTGAGGAGTGTACACAACTAATTTGTGACGTGTGTGTATGTGTGCCATACTTAGCTTTCTGGTATATTCAGGTTACAGCACACTCCTGAAAAGATAGAGTTTTCTGAATGGGCAGTGTGGAGCCATAATCTTGCTGGGTGACCAGACTGCCCATGAGCACAGCTGTCAGGTGTGAAGCAAAAGAGAGGCCTTGAGATAGTGCTGAAGAAACTGCTCAATCACAAACCCCACCACCCAGTGTCAACAGTGATCTTTCTGTACTGTGGTATCAGACTGGACTCCTGAAATTTCAGGGTTTTCTCTAATACGTCAGCTCTTTTGGTTAAAACGTTCTCCACAGATACTCCCAGCTTGCCTAAATAATTAGTTAGATTGTGTTTAAATGTGAAGCACCTACCTCTGACCTTAATGTCATAAATTGTAATGCCAAGACAAGGAATTCCTAAAACATCTTTATTGCATATGTCTTTCACTAAGCAGATCACTGATCTCTTGCTTTGTCCTTTAAAATAAATAGGATCAGTCACTCATCAGTGTTTCTTCCCAGGAGTACAATGCGCACCTAATGTTAAGTTAATCAGGGACATTGCAAAGCAGGGCAGACTTGAAAGGCTGAAATACTATCTTCCTGCCCAGTTACTGCTTCCTGCATGCGTAGATGCTCTTTGTGCCCCTCATAGGCTGATTCTTCAAGCCTGCCTGCAAGAAGTAGCACTTTGTCTGGATGCCAAGCTTTACTGGCATTCTGAATCTGCACCTAAGCTGTTAGCTCTCTGTCATTCAGCATCTGCTCATTCCCTCAAATGCAAGCTATTCTGCAGAATAGGAAGCATCAGAAATCCAGCCAGGGCACAGCTGCCCCTAAAGTGCCATGTCGGAGTGACTTAAATGTGTATTTTTTTGTAATACTCATGTTTAAAAACAGTTGGCTACACATTGCCCATCAAATGGTTATAAGAAGAACACTAGGCTGTCAAGCAGTTTAGACTCAGCCATTTTCCTGTAAAAAAGGATTATGTGAAAGGGTCATATGAAAAGTGACTATATGAAAGGACAAGAGTCATCTACCTGGTGGCATATGTACTTCTAGTAATTCTATCTAAACTAACAGATACAAGTATCTGACAGTTGAATACTCAGCGTTTCAGGGGGAAGTACATGCAGAAGATAAATAATCTGTTAACAGCGTTGAAGAGGTTTCTTCTTGAGGTGGATTATGGGCAAGATGACTTTTATGATATTTTTCAATTTTATTACTGGAAATCTCCAATTGTAATCTGGTAGTCTTTTCTTTTTTGATACTGGAGATTGAACTCACAACTATGCTCTTGCAAAGCAGACACTTATGCCGCTGAGCTAAATCCTCAGCCCAATCCAATAGTCTTAAAACTTTGTCTTCTAATATCTTGTGTGTTCATTTTAGAGCATTTCAGAACTTGGACTGAGGCTGACAAAAGAGACTGTAGGGACCTGCTGAAGTAGAATTACGATGTTCAGTTTTATATTCAGTGTTTTATCCATGTATGTTAATGGCCTTATTTCATAATTTTAATATACATAGAAATGCTAGTGGGCTAAGGGAGCACTGGAGGTAAGTTCGCTTTTGAGAGGTTTTTATTTTTATTCCTGGTGCTGGGAATTGAAGCCAGAGTCTCATGCCAAATATGTACTCTTATCACTGAGCTACACCCATGGCCCCAAATTTGTTTTTATTTTATGTAACATGGTCCATTTCTTGGTGTGGATCATAGAAGTAATTATGAAAACGATTGTTTTTGAGCTAAATCTCTTTTTTTTTTGGCAACCTGCAAATAGTTTTTTCTGTTATATGATCTCTTTGCCAGTTCAATTTGGTTTGTTTGGAGTGCAGTCTAAATCATTAGTTAGCCTTGGATGTCTTTTTCTTTTGGACAGCTTCCTGGTTCATTGACAAAAGTACAAACAAAAGTTCTGAGTTAAGACATGTAGTATACTTAACATCTGAAAACCCCAGAATCATCATGTTGATGATGTCTGTGTGTGTGTGTGTGTGTGTGTGTGTGTGTGTGTGTGTGTGTGTGGTGTGTGACACTAGGGATCAAACCCAGAGCCCTGCATATGCTAGGCAAGAACTATAGCCCTGAAGTCTGTCGCCAGTCCTTGGGAGGGTGTGTTTTAAGGGTTAGGAATGGACCCACTCCTTCAAGATTATGTGTTTCTTTGCAGTTCTAATAATATCCAAGGGGTAGGCCAAAGGTGAAAAACAGCTTGATTTGTTTAGTGATCTTAATCTTACAGTGATCTTGCAAAAATAGTAACTATTTTAAAGAAATGGATTAAGTGGTCGAATGCTCTTGAAATATTTCTTGACTACTTACTGTGTCTTCTTGGTCCGTAGACTTGTTTTACTGTCTACTCCCTTCTCTTCTCTTGTCCCCTTCCCCAGCTAGAGGATATCTATCTGAGCAGCCCTGGTGTTAGACAAACCTAAAGAGAAGTATAAACCAAGTTGCTGTTAGTGTGGCTCTTTCCTGGTATCTATATTTTCTCATGCATAAGAATGTATATTTTATAAAGCATGTGTTTACTTGTCTCCTGTAATATGTCTTCAATAAAGCTCAAAATACATTATAACCTTCTGGTCTCTTGTCTGAAGTACAGGAGTGAAATGGTACATTTTTGAGTTTGCATCCTGTTGATGGAGTGTTCAGTTACTGAACAAGTTAAAACAAGAGTTGTTCTGTAAAGCTTGCCAAGTCACATACTCCCTCAAACCTGCCACTGGCCACACCCTGCCACAGAGCTTTTTGGGACAGGCAGTGTGTACGCTTCTGCTTCTTTCCTTTTGTAGTTCATCTTGGTGCTAGGTGCCTGGCAGGTATGAAATCAAATATGCTTTATAGTTCATTAGACAGCGAGAGTATTTTCTGCACAAGGAAGAACTTGAAAGTAGTGTTTTCTAATTAGGTAAATCTTTAATAGAATATGTGAAGAATGTCGGTATTTAGTAACATAGTTATAATATCTTGGAGCCATTCTCTTTGCAAATTCTGCCCTGAACACTGAACACTGTGATGTTTTATTTAAGCTAAGGTTCTGCTTTGTGGCCCAGGTTGGCCTTGATCTCAAGGTCTTCCTACCTCAGTCTTTCAAATGCTGGGATTACAGATGTGCGTTGCCATTAGTACTTTGGGCTCATGATACTGATACTATTGTGTACATCTACTGCATTTCATCTCCCTCCCTCCCTCCCTTCCTTCCTCAGTGCTAGGGATCAAACCCAACGCCTTGTGCATGTTACCACTGAGCTGCACATCCTCCCTATGCACTTTATTTTTTACAAGGGTAATTTCCATTGATTCCCATTTGAATCTCAAAAACCTTATGTAGTAGGACAAATAATTTTGATCTCTGCATTTTGTGGTTAAGGAAACTGGCTTAGTGAGATAATTACATACCCGATATCAAAAACCTTTTAGACAATAAAGCCAGGTTCTGAATCCAGATTTCCCAGTACTTAATCAATTTTGAGCAATATATGTTTTCTATAGTCGACATGAATAGTTGAATAAAACCTCAACTTGAATCACTTCTAGTATGAAAGCTACGTGTAGAATGTACCTAGAAGTAGATTTTTAATAAATTTTACATAGAAAAGACTTACTTTCTACTCTTGTAAAAAAAATGCCATAGTTTTTGTTCGTTTGTTTTTGTTTTTTGCAGTACTGGGGATTGAACTCACGATCTTGTACTTGCCAGACAGGCACTTATGCCACTGAGCTACATCCCCAGCCCTTTATTGTATTTTTTATTTTGGAATAGGATATACTAGGTCTAAGTAGTAGCATCTGCTAATTATGAAAGATACTTGTTTACATTCATATTGAGAAGCTTATATAACCCAGTACTTAAATATCTATTTCAGAATTAGTTAAACCAGTTACAATGCATCAGTGTTTTTGTTAAATAAAGTAAGAATGAATGTCTAGAAAGATGAAGTGAAAATATCAAATACACAGAGCCTGTACTGGTAATCAAATCCAACGCCTTGGACATGCTAGGCAAATGCTTTATCACTGAAGTATATCCCCAATCCCATGCATAAAGTTTTTGTTACAAATTCAATGGACATGAAATTCCTCTGCTGTTAAGATTCTTAATGGCTTACTCTCAATTTGTGGACAAATAGTTTATGGATTGGTACAGACTTGTATACCATTCGTAAAATAGTACTGCTGTGGTTTTTGAACAGCACAGTGGCTGTCACGATGAGGACTGGTTATATGCAGTTTGGATATGACCAATCCTCATCTTTAATCTTCTGGTATGAAATGATTGAAACTTGAACTTCTGTTCAGAAGGCTTCATCACAAAGCAATGATTAGAACCACTTTCCAGCTAGGTTACCTTCCCCTTTACTGTATCTCCTCACTTGCTGAGTAGAGTCCTTAGTAGCATGTTGTTTACTTTTCAGTAAAGCGGTCTTTCTGCCAGTGTGCTCTCTAACTTTTGTTATACAGGAAACCTTGTTATAAGATAGGTTAAGTGAAAATGAGGTACTGGATCATACTGGGAAAGAGATGTCTGGCACCATGGGGCCTGATGTGGGCGTGTGGGTAGCTCTTGCTGGAAGACTTTGTCAGGTCTGTTTCATCTGTCACCTCTGCTCCTTTGTTTAGTCAGTGTTCCTTGAAATCTCAAAGATAGAAATTTGTGACCATCCATTTAGTTCCCAGATCATCACCAAGGCTTTGACAAAAAAGGCACAAGTAGGAAGAATTAATCATAATTACTGGCAGGAAGAAACAATGCAGTTAATAGCACATATATTCTGCCTCGCCCTTGCAGATATTATTAAATAGTTCATATGCTTAGTACTTTAGTGTCACAACAAACCCCTTTGAGGGAGATATTCCCATTTTATAACAGATTATGCAACTTGACCTAGATTCATGTAATTAGCAAGCAATAGAATGAATAATTGAAATGCCTTCATGAACTCAAACACAAATTCTTCACTGTGTCAAAGAAAGGAAAAATGAGCTTTTAGTAAACTATATTGTCACTTAGTGCTTGTTTGGTTTGAGACAAGGACTTACTGTACAGTCCAGCCCAGACTTGAACTCATTGTGCAGCCAGGCTGGCCTCAAATTTGTCATCCTTTTGCCTCAGCCTCTCAAGTGCTAGGATTTGTAGGCATGTATTACCCTGCCGAGCTACTTAAGTTTTATTGGCTGAATTATGTCCCACCCCAAACTTCTATGTTGAAGCATCCCAAAATGTAATATTTCAGAGGTCTTTAAAGAGATAACTAAGTTAAAGTGAGGTCTTTTTTTTTTTTTTTGGTAATGGGAACCAAAGTCAGCACCTTACACTTGGCAGCCTGAAACTGTGCTCCTGAGTTATATCCCCGGCCCCTAAAATGAGATGTTTAGAGTGAGCTCTAATCTGATCTGATATTCTTCCAACAATGGGAAATAGACTCCAGACATGTAAGAGAGCAGAGAAAAAGATCAAAGACGGTGTGTGGAGTCATCAAGAATATGACTGCCAAAAGTCAAAGAATGCGAAGACACAGTGGTCCTGGATTTTCAGCTTCCAGAACTGCGAGGAAATAAATTATTTAAGACACCCGATACATGGAATTGTGGCAGTCCTGATAAACTAAAACAGTCTTAAAAGAACTCAAATTGGTAGAATTTTCTAAAAAGGAAATTGACGCAGGTTAAATGACTTATCTAAGTAAGTCACATACTGCAAAACTCTTCTTTTTACTAAGCCACACTTTCCTTTAACCCTGGCAGTGTCTGTATTACTGAAATGCATTGTAGAGACTTCGTATTTTCAGACCTCTGAGGAGAAATGGAAATAAAGTCAGTGAACACACTAGCTAGCATGCTTTAGTTCTGACAGCTCCTCGGCCTCACAGAAGTTCAGAAAAAAGACTGACAGCACTGAGCCAGGCATGCCAGAGAGCAGGACACAGACTTATCTTCATGGTATAAATGATACACCTGTGAACAAAGCAGCAAGGCATTTGGAACATTCCAGAGTAAGTGATTTTAAGCATCTACTTTATTGTTCCAAGGAAAAACCATATTTTAAAATCAGTATGTAGAATCCCATGACTGGCTGCTCTTGAGTCAAATGTAAAATTAAATAGTTGCAACTTTTCTTTTTTCTAAATGCTCCATCAAAGCCAGTGTGAATTGCTCTGTTGAAAACAATACTATGTGGTTCAGGTCAGTGATGGCAGAGGGTAGTTTGAATTATTTATTCTATAGGGCAAGATCCAGAGACAGACCCACAAGTATATGTTCTGTGCCGGAAACGGCTAATGCAGAGAGAAAACAACTGTCTTCCAACAGTGAGTTACGACTGCCGCAGTGGCCTTGTTCTTTACGCAACCCGGCTCAGAAGTATACAGATACGCTTTTGCTAAAGTGGAATTTAAATTTTAAGATTCAAGTGTGTGGCAGAGTGTGTTGGTGAGCACCTGTAATTCTAGCACTTGGGAGGTTGAGGGACGAGGATTATACAAGTTCGAGGACAGCCTGGGCTACATGGTGAGTTCAAGAACAGCCTGAACTACATAGCAAGACCCTATCTCAAAAAAGAACAACAACAACAAAATATTCATGTGTATGGTGTTGAGAACTTCTGACTTTTGGAGAAAGTCAGAAATCAAAATAATTCAGGATCTAACTGGAAACTAATGATCATGTTGGCAGGAGTGCTGCCTCCTGGGCCTTTGCTCCGTGAGCACTAGTTTCCTGTCATATCTTCTAGACCCTGGTCACCTGTCTTACCTGCCAAATGTGCACTGTTTCCTAATGTTCCCTGGAGCACGAGAGACTAATACCATGGATGTAGGGAGACATGTGGAAACTACATTGTGTCTTCCCTTGTTGACTGTTCCGTGTTTCTACCTTTGGGCAGCCTTAATTTAGGGACGGCTGTAAGAGCAGGCTGTGCTCATTAGTTTTCTCGGTCCCGGAAAGGGAACTTGGAAAGAGAAATGACTGGTTTATCTCTTTCTTTCAATTCCTTTCTCATGTCTAATTTAAATTCCGTATGGTGTAAGACTTGCTAACAAAATAGAGTGGTGAGAGATTTAAACAGCACACGCCACTGTGCACAGCTCTTCTGTAGGTTTTGAAGGCAAGATGTGGATTTTAGAATATCTGGTTCAGAAAACAAACCTGTTTTCTTTCTCAGCTCTATGAAACTCAAGTATTACTTTCTTCATTACTCTTCCTGTAAATGGGTTGTGAGTAAGAGAAACAAGCAACTGAAGCCACAAGTTCCAAACTTGCCATACCTGCTGCCTGGTATCCCCTGGCCAAATGGAGGCTGTCAGTGTCCTGTGGAGACAGCTGCCTGAGCACCTGCATTTACCATCTGCTTTTCAAAAGCCAGTAGTGGACTCCAGTCATGGCAACTGTGGGAGCATAAGCCAGTTTCTTATAAGTGTTTTGTACCTCATTCTCTATAAAGTGGAAATAATAATGCCTACATACATGTTTATTGAGAGGACTACATAAACTAATGCCTATAATGCACAGAACACAGTGTTCAATGAATTCTGGCTGCTTTCAGCTGTTATTGGCACTCAAATGGAGCTCTCTCCTCTC